GATCTGAGCATTAATATGAGTATTAACATTTTTAACTGTACAAAATTTATGACCTTTGAAAGTATTAGCTGCATTTGCCAACCAAGAAAACAGGCACAGCAAGATCGAACAACTTGCTTAAGGTCTCCCAGAAACTGTGGGAATGAAAACCAGTTTCCTTCATATAGACCTCAACCACAAGGCAGTCCTCCCTCTCTCGTGGCTGTTCTAAGATTTTTTCAGAATGTTGTCTGAGTTGTTGTGCAACTGATTAATCTGTCTGGCTACCTATGTCCTGCAAATGTATCCAGTGCCACATGTTAGTCCAGACAGGTCAACAGAATGATTTTGGTTCTGATACCTGCAAGGCTCTGATGGCTTCTTTCCCCCACCCTGCTGAAGTGATTTAGGTCCTCCTGAGATCATATACCTCAGTGAAGCAAATCACAGGACTAGTGACTGCTGCTTTGTGCTGATTAATTTCTACTGGTATGGATTTCCTTAACGCTCATTTTTCCCAGCTGCACACAGGGAAGATAATTTTAAGTATAGTACATCCGGCTATCCTAAGCTCCCATTTTCCCTCCAGGAGAGGAGTGTCATGTCTTCTTTGGTCTTCTGCATTTGGTACAATATGCCTGCTCAGAATTTAGTGTCTATGAAGAAACCAGAAAAATGTATGAATTTTTCCCTTCCTCAGCTGGATCCTGTGCCTGTCACACACTGTATGATTACTCCAAGTTTGTCACAAACTTTCTAAGGGGAAATACACTTTAATGATGTGTTTAATAAGATGTTCTTGCCTATTAAGATGCCTTCAAAAGGAAGCACGAGCCTCATTTTGGCAAAAATGCTTGGCGGTGCAGGAGCCAATAATGTTTATAAATGTTAAAATGTTGAGGACCCTAAAATTCTTATGCAGCGTTCCTTGCAAGTCAGTCACAGCTATATCGGTTCAGACCAAAAGGGGATCTTTAAGATTAAGAATAGACTAAGCATAAAGTGGTACTTCCCAAATTTGTACTAGCTGCAGCTTGTATTCTTTCTGAGTCAGGGGCCATTTTAAAATATTTGTTAATCCTCAGTAGTTTTGTACAGCAAGGATTTATCTAATATTGCCATGTGAAGTTCAAGCATCCACAGTCTTATGTGGCAGGAAGCTCCAGAGTCTCACAGCGTGCAGGTAGTCCTCAGATGTCCAGTACCATACCTCATTCTGGTTCCCTGATTCACTCCTCAGAGAGAACAGTAACATCCACTTTCATGCTGAATGCCATTTTTGGGATAACACACATCCTTCTTACACAGGGAGAAGACCTGTTGCCACTGGAATTACTGGGATAACATTGTAATGGTTCTGAATTAGAGATTTGCTTACAACAGCAAGAATTTTTAAGTTTATACGTTCCTGCTCTTTAGTCAAAGTTACAACTTCACATGGGATTTTTAGTGACAAAGCACAAACAATAAAAAAACAGGTTTGCAGTATTCCTGGAACTTATGCAATGATTAAAATATGGAAAGTGTCAAGATTGATAGAGTCCCATAGTGAATACCTTCAAGTGGAATTCTTTTGGGTTTAAATGTCATTTTGATATTTGCTAAATGGAACGTGAAGTATTTCTCTGAGATGCTGCCATTTCAGGAATGGAAAGTCCACTAAATTCAGACTTCCAGATAAGTGAAGTAGCTTCCATTTATTTCCATTTATGTGGATACCCAGAATATTGAAAAAGACTGATTTCCTGTCCTTTTAAGGTTGGGAATATTTTCCTTTTTTCCATATCATCTTCTGTCACACTAGTAATACCACTCGTAGAAGCAACTTAGCAAATATAATAGTGATTTATCTATACACACAAAATTATGACAAGAGGCTGATGGGTACAAACAATTGCCTCGATGGCTTAACAATTCATTACATTGATTGCAATGCCTAGAGAATGTTAGGAAGTATAGTAATCTATAAAGCATTTTATTTTCTGTTTACTATAATGTATTAGTTTGAAAAATGTGTGGGATAAGGTTCTTGAAGTTACTAGAAAGGGTAGGATCCTGGGCCTGTATTTGCAAATTTGCATATCTGCATCTTTTCCCATAGTCTTCTCTCCTATGTTCACATATGCATGCTCCTTTTTCTTTTTCCTGTACTCCATACCTGAATATTTTTCCTTTCTTTTTGTTTTGCTTTACTTTCTTCACTCAGTCTTCTGTCTCCTGGGCATCAGTTCCTCAGGTAATACTTTCAGTCAAACCGCTGTAATGCATATTGTGTTTTAATTTGGTAAGTAATTTGTGTAAGCCATTCCTAGAATATTTTAATTCATTTCTTTAACAATGGGCCTTCTACCAATTTGCAGATCTGTTAAAAATCCTCAACACCATCACTACCACTGCAGGAAAAAAAAAAACCAAAACCCAACCCAAAGCCCAGAGAAGATCCGAGAATTAGAAAAGATGCAGGCTAAAGACAGCAATCCACCAGATGGTGGCTATGGATGGGTTGTGGTAGTGTCAGCCTTCATGGTGATGGGCCTCACTGTTGCTGTTCTCAAGACTTTTGGTCTGTTCTTTGTTGAAATCCAGCAGCACTTTGATGGACTTGCAAGCACCACTTCCTGGATCACATCAGTAACTATTGCCATCTTTCATTTAGGAGGTAGGTAGAAGTGCTTCTCTAGCATTTCATTTTAATGTGTTAACTACCAAAGCAAGTTTTAAAATCTTCCTTAAAAAAAACCCAAACCAAAAACTTATAAGGACAAGGCTTCCTTCTTCTGTCTCTACAGAAAATACAGAAAATTTTCTTACAAAAAATTAGCATTTGCTGTCTCAGATATGGAATTGGTTAATAATGACACTCCAGTGATGCCTTTTAGGCAACACTAGATACACAGGAATCTGATTGCCATAAAGAACTTCACGTACCTGAACTCATGATTCAATTTTGCTACAGGCTTTGAGTTAAACTCATTGGAAATAATTCTAATAACCACAGAGCTTGTTTTAAGAGCTTAAGAATCAAGCTCTTAAACCAGTTTGTGCAAGTTCACTGATCTCAGAGTGACTGTCACTTTTTCAAAGTACTTTTAAATTTAAGGACTGCAATCCTGTCTATCATATAAACCATCTGCAACTAAAATTATGATTATCAGTTGTGCCTTCTCACACTTCTCCTTTTCGTCTTTGCCAAGATCCCCCTTCTCTGCATGTATTGCCAGTTCTGGCTCTCCTTTAACCCCTTTAGAATGACTGCAAATCATTTATCTAAGAGAAAACTCACAGAGCTAAAAAGAAAAAAAAAATCAGTTCACTCAGAGAGAGCACAAGAAAGACAAGATCATGCAAGCAGAGAGTAGGGGAAGAGAGAGTGAACTATCCCAGTCAAAGGCAATCAGCTATGGGAGCAGGCCAAATACCACATCTCACCAAATGAAGGAGGAAAATAGAAAACATACTGTATTTGACTCAACTTTGTTGTTTAGAGAGTCCTTTGCACCCTTGTAAACTGCATGATCCTTCACATGATGATGAGGATTCTAAACATGTGCAGGCTTGAAATGGACGGAATTTGTGATGTCTGTTCTACATGTTCTCATATAGATATATGGTTGTAATAGGTAAATATCCTTACATAATAAATGCTATCATAATTTTGTTTGTGAAGACACTTCATTGCATAGACAGTATATAATTATATGCATCCTACTCAGTCCACACCTATCAGTATTACTGCTTGGAATTGCAGTACTTTCAAACATCATGGACAACAACCTTTCTTTAAAAAATGTATTCAAAAGAATCAAAGAGTAATCCAAAGTAAAAGGATAAAGCAAGTTGTGGGTTAAAAAGCAGTTCCATAACTGCTATCCTTGATGCCTGTTTTGCAGTGACAGAAGTAATTACTTGAAAAAAAAATTAAAAACTTGATTCATGGACCACAGAAATGAATAAATCTATCAATCTGGTTTACAAATTACTTATCACTGACCTACTGCAATACTATTTTGTCATTCAGGTATACAAACTTAATGAGAAAAAAAAAAACAGCATAGGAAGATAAAAGAATTTGAAGTCCTGTTTTAATTAGGTTTTGTTTTGCTTTTAACACATATTTACATTATATAGGAATGTATTAAGGGATAGAGCATATTAATAATATCAAGTATAAATCAGCAAAACTATTTGCCTAGCCAGGTGTGAGGCCAGCCTACTTCCAAGAGGGCAGCTATAATTTTCAGCAGAAACTGTTTTTCATCCTTTGAGATCCTATGAAAATAACCCTCTTTCTGTGAATATAGCTCGATGGCCAAATGTTCCAAACCCCTCTGTATAGCAGTTTATAATGTCTCAGGTCAGTACATAATTGTTCTCATCTTCTCCTGCCTTTGTTTCATTTATAGGGACTAGAAGACTTTCTGCCTAAGATCATCTGAACCTCAAGTTCTTTGAGCATCTTTCCTGGCCTGGCTTAGTCTTTCTTAACGTGTTCTTCTGCGAAACCTTCAGTGTCATTTGGTTCAGTATGAAGGATGATCACTGAGTTATTATTTTTTTTCCTGTTTGGATCCTTTCAACCTCAGCTCTGCTTCTTGTGTGGAAAGAGAGCATGTGATTCTGCTCCCAGGGTTTGCCCTTGCAACAACAGGCTGTTCAGTTTACCACAGCAAGGGTTCTCCCCATCACATTCACAGGCTTTCTCTTGGTACTGATGTACACCTCCCATCACCTCTCTCTTTGCACTGTGATTATCATCCCTTTTCATTGCTTGTAAGTTTTCTGTGTGTTACCCTTTATCCTTTCAGACTGTGGAGTTTAGCTATTTTTCTCATTTCCAGTTCCATGGTTAGCTTCTTTCTTTCTCCTTCTATGTCATGTTCAATTTCTGCCTACCTATTCTCCTTTTTCACCATTTAAAAATTGTTTTTTGGTAGTATTTCTGCTCCAACTCCAGATCTTTCTATTGTCTTTAAACATTTCCATGGAAGTTATCCTGAGCTTATTTTCTCTCTTTTTTTTTTTCATCATAATGTATGATTCTCCAACTGTATATACTTTATCACGTCTCATCCACTACATCTTGCAGACCATGACTGAATTTTGGTATAATTTTTACATGTTTATAAAATCATCATATTTTTGCTGTAAATGTTGATGAGACATCTGGGGTTTGTATAACTTCTGCCAGGTCTGTCTGCTATCAGACAACGTACATCCTGCACATTTTGCAGCCATTAGTACTCTGCCAGGTTTATTTCATTCATCCTAGCCACTGAATTCTCCTAATTCTGATCCTAATACAGTTGAACCTACAATAACTTGCCCCTACAAATTACTATGAAACCTTCCTTGCTGACTGCCCTCTCTTCACTGTCTTCCTACTTATTTCAATTTACAAGCATGGTCCTCGTTAACTGAATTCTAATTCCCAGAATATTAATGGATTGAAGGGAGCTGACTGATGCCAGGTGGTACTAGGGAGGCCCCTAGTGGCCACGGCTATTTAACGAAATCTTACAGCCATCTCTGTAATGCTGATGGAAAAACAGCGAGGCAATGTAACATCCTTGATTAAGCAAAAATATCCCTGACATTTCAGGTGCTTCCAGATAGTGACTAGAGGTCAAAGCAGTTGCTGCGCTTTCAGATCTGTACCTACTGCATCTTTGCCCTCATGTTGAAGAGTCCCTGCAGTCCGCTGAGAGAAACTGTATCACTACAATAAAGATTTAAGAAATTAACTGCAAATTTCCTGTAAAAAGCAATAGCACAAAATAAACACTGATTTTTTTCTCCTTTATAAACTTTTGTAATTCCATAAAGAGATGATTTTGCAAAACTCTATAGAGGAGAAAGGTTATTTTCCTCCAGGAATTTTCCATGCCAGCCATATCAATAGTACAGTCTCAATAATACAATTGAAGTTTCACTTTCTGCTAAAATGCCACAGTAGTTTCTTTCACATTGCTAGTTCCATTCTTATATGAAACTCAGTAGAACTATCCTGCAAGGAAGGCAGTGAAATAAATGCTCCTTTACTTTAAAAAAGACTACATATTTTGAATATATTTAAAAATCTGAGCCCCAGGACAATCATTTCCCTGTCAGTAAGGATCCAATTTTGAAATTTCAATTGATGTCTTGCTCAATCCAGAAGAATTAAGTCTGAGATAAGAGTTATAAGGATACTTTATTTGAATTATTTGATTATTTTCTCATGTCAATCAGCTTAATGTTCCCACTGTATTTTTCTTTCTTCAATTTTGCTGCTGATCCAGCCCCTTTTGCCAGTTCATTATGTGTACGATACACCCATCGGGCAGTTGTGATCACTGGAGGACTCCTGGCTTTTTCAGGAATGGCACTGGGATTTTTTGGATTCAACATGGTCTGGATGTATGTAACGACTGGCTTCCTACAGGGTATGACTTTATGGCTTTATGGTTTTCTTCCAACAGCAACTCAGAGCCCTTAGCTGAGGATACTAGGGGTAGGAATTTTGAAATCTGGTATGTATTTTGATTTCATGAGCAGCTAGAGCCAACAATTCTCTTAAAAGGTGTCTTCCCTCCTTTCCCACTCTGGAAATAAGAATATGTGCAGGAAACCTGCAGTGAAAAAGAAGGTGAATAATTAGACGCTAGTAATTTGCACCTGCAAATTTTATATACAAGTAGAAAATGAGAAGTGTTTTATTTTTCATTTGGAGACAAGAGCTTTATGAAGGTTTATAGAACCTTCATAAAGGGTACTGGAGTACAAGAACAGAGAGATCCCAAATTTTGTACTTTCTATAAAATTATCTTATGTTTTGAACAGAGGCCCAGACTTTCACTTGATTTCAGTCCTTTCCTTTACTCCAGGTGAAAACAGGCCAGAAAGTTGCCTCCAACAGCTAACAGATTTTCCTGGAACAGGAAGCAAAGCAGCTGGCAGGGAATAAAATAAACCATTTCAAATTCCATGTCAGATGCTTGAGAAAATGTCTGGAATTTGAGCCCTTTGGCAGTTCTAGGCTGCCAAATAATCTAGGGAGCCATTAAAATCACTCTAAGTTACAGCAGGTCTGAAATCTTCTCAAAGCAGTCAGGCAAGAAAATTAAGAGCAAATAGAGGTAATACACCAACTTTCTTCATGTCCTGCCTCACTTGCTACCCTGAGCACAGCTCAGCACAGCTCAGCTTAACTCTAGAACCAGCCTTAATTCAGACAGCATGGACACTCAGATCTATCTAGCTTCAACCACATGACCATGTGATTTCTCACACAGTGCCAAAACTGTCCAAGCAACTTCTTTTATTTATTTAAGTGAGAATGTAGTAAAAGAGAACTTCATGATCCTACTTTTTGCTTGAACATATACGAATTACAGAACATGTCACAAGTTTACTCCTATGGGTAGTAAAGCTAAGCTCATGCTTCTGCTAGGAACAAAAATGTTTTCCTTCTACACTTTTTAACTTTGCAAATGTAGGAGCACCGACTGCTTTAGTTTCCTTCACAAAATACTCAATAGTGTCTAACCTGTGCTATTTCTATTGTTTTTCAGGTCTTGGAATTTCCTTTTCATGGACACCAGCCATTAGCATTGTTAGCCATTATTTCTCAAAGAAAAGGGCTTTGGCCAATGCTATTGCCAGCGCTGGAGAATGTGCCTTTGCATTCACATTTGGGCCATTTTTCCAGTGGCTGATTAGTCAGTATGGATGGAAAGGTGCCCTCTTGATTATAGGCGGCATCCAACTCAATATTTGTATCAGTGGAGCACTGATGCGACCCCTGGCAAGCAGCTGCCTCCTTGAGGATCACCATTCCAAAACTCAAACACCACCTGGCAAGAATGCATCCAGGACAGACAAAGAAGATAAGTGTCCCATCATACAAAAGACCTTCAACTGGATGCTTCTGAAGCGACCAGAGTTTGTACTTTATGCCATTTTTGGCATATTAGCTGCTATGAGTTTTTTTGTTCCTCCGTTATTTTTAGTTCCATTTAGCTACAGCCTGGGAATAGATGAATCATGGACTGCATCCCTCCTATCCATTTTGGCTATGGTGGACTTTGCAGGCAGATTGCTGTGTGGCTGGTATGCCAATCTCCATGTTACCAAAACCATTCATTTGCTGGTGATGACGATTACACTGATCAGTACTTCCCTGATGCTGTTGCCACTAGCTAGCAATTATGTTTCCTTGGCAATATTCACTGGCTTCTATGGATTCTTCTTTGGTACAACAGTCGCCATTCACATTACAGTGCTGGCAGATGTTGTAGGCATGCCAGAATTTGATAGTGCTTTAGGGCTTTTCATGCTCATTCGAAGCTCTGGAGGTTTTGTGGGGCCCCCTCTTGCGGGTAAGTTAAGAGGTTACTCTGCCAAATAGTTTACAAAGCTTATAAGAAGAAAGGGGAATGGTAACCCAAACTGAAAAGATCTGGATCTGCACCCAAATTTTCCCCTTTTTAAGCTCAGGCATATGTAAGCCAAGAAGTATATAAAAAACAAATGGTTGGTTTAAATCCTCTTGAAAACACACTGTTCCCTCTCTTCTCTGTGATTTTAGAGATACCTGTTCAACATGAAAGCAGGGATGAATGGCATGGTTCACATGGTGGTGTTACTGCTTCTGAATCCCACATAATGCCACTGGATGGCCTCCCACTCTCTTGCTATGAAAGTGTGCCTTTGGGACAAGCAGCAGACCCATACTTTCAGAGAAGATACTGAAATTTGAGACTAGTGATGTTGCACCAAGGCTGGTATTGATGGAAGGGTTTCTACAGAAGTTCAAATTGAACATTAGGCTATGCAAACCTCAAGGAAATATTCACAGAGATGCCTGCTGGTTTTAGACAGCATTTGAGACAAACAGTATAATAAGTGGGTGAGGCAGCACATAAGAACAGTGGGAAGTGAGAGCAGACAATGAGACAGCACATGGATTCTTGGAATGGCAACAAAGCATAGTCGTCTTGGAAAAATGCACAACAAATTAACTGCAAGCTGTAGGGACTTTACAAAGTGATATGGCAGAAAAATGACCAACGTGACTAGTAAAATGCACACTGAGTCCTCATTCAAAGACCACTGCTCATGCACTACAGTGACTTCTGTGGTAACGACATCACTAATAGATTGCAAATGGGTCAGACTAAGTGTGTTGGAGAGATCTGAAAATAATACAAATGTAGCAAGACATCTAAATAGTGGCTGGTCAGTAGCACTGATTATGTGGGGATCAGTGTGATCCATTTGTGTACATTTAGTAATCTACAAAGAAGGTATGGAAGAGCAGGGAACCCTAAGTGCCTCTCAAGCTCTCCTCTCCTACTCTGAGACTAAAATCTAAAAGACTTGAATTCAGAGTTCCTTTGACTATAGAGGGCTGAAGCCACATTAGAAGGTGGGCTAGAGAGTACCCTAAACATGAACAAGCTTTGCACAAGCAAGCAGTTTTCATCAGCCCACAAAGGAATATGTCATCACACACACAGAGCACTGATATACTGGTGCAGTACCACTACTACTATAGTGATTTCTCAGTACAGAACAAAATGGCATTACGTATTTTGGTTGGTTTAAAGTTCATTGAAAACCCAGGTCTTTTTGTTAACATCTGTGACTCTTTGTAAAATAATGAAATGGAAACCCCTTATATATCAGACAAATTCAACCAACTATGTCTCCAGCAGATGAATCTCCTTTCCTTCTTTAAACTCTCTTGTGCTATACAGTTATGGTCCAAATTACATCATCTGATGACAGCTACACCACAGAACATGGGGCTAATCAGATGCACAGCTGCATTGTTTGTTTTTTTTTTTTTTTCTGCCAGTACCTTTGCTGTCTGCCACACTTTAGGTTGGAAAGTGCTTCAAACTGTGTAGCATGTTGTTTCAGTATCAACATACAGAGCAATGGGATGTGAATTGTGTTTCAAATTTTAAAGTGCTGTAATGGAGTGATGTTACATGTGCTCGTGATGTAGAAAGCTGAAAGACAGATATGTTGCCAGCACACTGACTTTGTGAGAGGATGTGTTCACACTGATGTGCTTATTCACATTGGCCTCTTTTCCATCAATCACATTTCTGTCACTTGTTTCTCTCTAGGTCTGATTGTGGATATGGCTGGAGACTACAGAGCAGGCTTCTACATGGCAGGAGCCACGCTCATCCTATCAACTGGATTTTTAATTACTTTAGATCAACTCCAACAGAGAAAAGAAAGAGGAAACCAGACTAGTACTAAACCAGAAAAGTCAACTTTATCCTATCCTTCCCTCCATCTCCTGAAACATAAAAACAGAAGCTATTGAGAACACAGTGTAGTGGTGTGACTACACTGGACCTCAGACAGCATTTCAGGACACATGAAAGTATTTTATTTTTGACAAATTCCCTATTAGTAGGATTTACAAAACAACAGAAGTTTTGGGTAGGAATGTTTGAAACTTAAGAAAGTAAGTAGTTTACAAGCAAACTATAGCAGTAACCATTATCATATTATTTTGATGTTGAAGTTGCAGTTTGATTGTACAAGTCTTCAGTACAGTCCCACAGGGCCATGCTAAGTGAATTAGGGAAACCATGGTCTAAATTAAACTGCCATGAAGTGTGTATGCAGCAGATACGAAACCCTACCCCCAAATGCAGACTGCAGCTATCACTTTCAAACAGGAAGAGGCATCACCTCACAGATGTTTAGCTTGGGGAAGTAGTGTTCAGTATTTTCAGTAAACAAGTCGGATATGAAAGCAGGAGTACCTGAATACAGTTTTGAGCTAAAGCGTTAGCTGGTACTCTACAGAGCAGGGCTGGAATCAGATAAATAAATAAACCTGATAAATGGGAAAAGTTACATGAATTATAGAATACAGTAGAGAGAAATACAGTATTAAATATCAGAAGTAAAAACCAAAATGCATCCCCATAAAATGAAGTAGGATTGATAAATAGTAAAAGAAGACCTATGGCTACAGTGGACTTCAAAATGAGTAAGAATCCCAAATGGAACCTTGCATTAAAAGTACTAAATGTTCTGTGCTATTGGTAAGATAGAAGAGATAATGATGCTTTCAAGGCTTTAACTGGAAGAAGGACATAAGCTGCAAAGAATTGAGTGGAACAAAAATGAGAACATTAAGAAAACACAACCTAAGGAAAAAGTGTAAAAAATTAAGTTTGTCTGGTTTAGAAGACAAAAGTTTTTACAGAGAATGAGAACAGCCTTCAAATCCACAATAGACTGACATAAAAAAACATTGTAGCCTGTTAAGCACAGAAGCAGACTGTTCGGTCTGAAAACAGAGATATCAGAGAATAGATAAGCCATGAGCAAGAATCTAAATATATTTGATTGCTCTTCAAAGTAGCATGATGGACTTGTCCACTTCCTGAGGTCCCCTTTAGTCCAACATTCCAACTAACCTGAGGCAAATACTTTGGGTAAATACTCTTTGAGAATAAAAGAGAGTCTGTATCCAAATAACTTTTATTTTATCAGTGGGAAGAGAGAACTTAAAAGAAGGGAGGAAGGGCTGGATCACATTTAGAAAAAACAGTAAAAGGAAAAAAACATAGCACTTTAGAGCTTCCAAAATATC